CCACCCTCCACTCGAAACGACACGACTCAATCGGAGCTGAGTTCTAAGTGTTGTGCCACAGCTCAAATTCAAGTGCCGGGTTATGCCGTCTGATGAGCGTTCGACTGTGAGCCGGTATGGAGCGGCGTGTCGCGGCGTGAACTCGGGTCAAGCGGCAAGCCGAGGCTGAGCTCGCGCTCACCCGAGTTGCGGCTGAATCCCCGGTTGAATTTCTACCCGGGCTTGCATGCAAGGCAACGACCTTACCCACTGCGTCAGGCCGTCGGGATAATGATAAATTTGAAAGATCTAGGAAAAATCTGAAAAAATCAAGAGTGATCTAGATCGTATACTTGAAAAAGGTCCGTGAGATTTTTTATGTTCAGTGTTACCCTTAATTATATATTCAAGCTCAAAGTTGCCATGTTTTTCTGAAAATTTGTCTTATACACGGTACGCAGCTCAGAATTTTGGAATAAAAATTTGAAAATCTAACTACTTATGATATTTTTGGCGGACATTTTCATTGACAGGGCTTCTAAACCGTTCAAAATGAGATGTCAAATTTTTTCACATTTTCCTGAGGCTTAACTGCAGTGTAATTTAAAAAATCGGAAAATGTGCGGCGCGCTGATTATAGCGTGACCAACGGAGTGTTAAGTGAGATCGGGTAATAATCACGAGGAGCACTGAGGGAAGTATTTTTATACCCTCTTTCTCCGCGGATTCACCCGTTCGGCTGGCGATTGGCGGTACGTGACCTTTTGCCCCCGGACTTTTTGACGGACCGAGAAAATACTAAATTTGGGTGTCTTTTAACATCATTAACAAAAACACCGCGCCAAAAAGACCTGCTCCGGGCGATTGGGAGTTTTACGAATTATTATGGGGTTTCAAGGGGCAATTGGTCGTATTTTGGGACATTCTTTCGGGATTTTTGAATTATTATTGTCACCAGCAACCTCCTGAACAGTTTGAAGTTACTGGGAGGCCATCGAGCTCCTCACTCTGAGGACTGCTCCCAGTCACTACACTGGGTGGAGGTGTCGGGTGTATGACCGAATCTGTAAGGTGTCCGCCTACAAAGCAAGAGGTCCTGGGTTCTCGCAACCTGGCACTGGCGAATAACTTCTGGATTATTTGATTTACTCGAATAGCATAAGGACACAATTAAGAATGTTTGAAATAAAACGTTAAAATACCGAGAAAAAATAGAATTGAGCATGTTCGAATCATGTACACACAACCTAATATAGTTTCACGTGTCTCAATAACCTAACTGACTACAGATGATTCTCACCATCGTGTGTGATTGCATTCTCATCATTCACTTGAAATACTGTCATAACATCGTAATCTACAAGTTACAGAGGAAATAGTCGTGAGCTCTGTCGGCAAAAAAGAGTCGAGAGCTCGTCACTAATAACCTAGCTGTTGATGTGACGTTAAACCCCAGCAAACAAACAAACAAACTAGGTGGAAGTTTAGGAGATCCCAAACTTATACTCTGTCACAGCGTAATTGTGTAACTTTTTTATTTTTCTTTCTTTTTTTTCATCTTCTCTTCGAGTCATCAATTTGACGCACGCTATCATTCAGAGAATGAATTTATCCCAATATCGACGGACTATCCATTTGAAAATTATATATATCGGATTCCGGAAAATTATTCCGGATTCTAATGTATAAGATTCCAGATTTCGGAACACCTAAGGATATTCCTGATTCCGAAATGCTATATACCCGATACGAGGATATTTTTTTCAGTGTTCTTAACAAAATTGATAATCGAAGAGGTTCCGACATGTTTCCAATTCAATACGTCTCCTCGAATTAAGAATCAATCCATTCCTTCTCCTAAAATTGTCCCTGCGAGAAATTATATTTAGGACTTCCAGTGCATGGTTTTATTAAGCATCTGCTGTGATATTTGTTTCTCGATATTACGGTACTAAATTTTCCCGCGTTAGACCATATTTTCCCGCAATGGATGCTGGAAGTGGTTTTATTTTTTAAATAAAACGGTCTGGACAAGAACGAATGTTGAATAGAAAAGGGGAGAAGAAAAAAATATTGTGAACATTGATTTATGGGTTTCGATTTGTCATGCCGACAGGTGTTTGGTCACCAGGCAGTGAGCCACCACCACCACCGCCACCAAGCCAGCCCAGTCCAGATCGAGGCAAGAATACGGATAAGGATGGTGGAATCCCCCCAGTTTGGACGCCATCTAGCGCAGGACCAAGTCCTGTTGTTGAGCGAAAAGAATTTCGACCAGTATCATTCGAAAGTCCAATATTGAGCAGGAGAAAGCCCCAGACACAGGTGAGATAAAATAATGATATGTAAGATTCAATAACTTTGACAAAGTTTATAAATTTATCGACGTTATTCTACTATTTCTACATCCCCCCCAGGAGTGATATTCATATTGGCTGTCACGGAAACGACTGCTACGTGACTAGAATTCACCGAGAATTTTCCAGTTCTTGTCTTTACGTATTGCCATTGCATTTCTGTACTTATTCCGAGGAATTGAATATATGTTTTCTGCCCTCTTCAAGCTTCTGACGTATTTCTATTATTTGAAATTTCAAACTCTCTCGATTTCGGGAATATCAATTTTATCGCCACATCGGGAATATGTCAGGTGGAAAAGTTTTGAGCACAACCCTCATCAGGTCATTAATTCACCAGATACTTTTTAAAGTGAGAATAGTCTTTTGTCAATAATTCGGCGTAAAAATAGTTGGCGCATTGGATTTCTCATTGGAATTTTTTTCGATTAATTCCCTCTTTTTGTTTATTAGAAAGATCAACCGAGGGGCTATTCACAGGCGAATTGGGTGACACCGCGATTACAAAATGTAATCGATTACCCCGGATTACGTGACTGATTACATTGATTACCATTAGCTATATGATAACCGTGATTACCATGAGCACAGAATGTGATTACATGATTACAAATGATTTCGCCGATTACATTCCGCGATTACCAAACATCTGTAATCATGGAAATAACAAAAAATGGCCTCTTATTAAATATGAGTTGATGCAATAATTAATTATTACAACCTGCAAAGAAATGAGGAAGGAGGGGCGGGGATTGGAACAGAGGAATGCAGTCTCCATCACTCCATCTAAAAATTTGGGCATTTATAAGTGCTATCAGCAAAATAAATTTACTGGATATCTACCATTGATGGAGAATGAAACTTACCAGCAGATAATTTCAAGATAATTCAGTCGTTGGTTCCCCAGAATAAGAAGAAATTTTAACTCTGTTGAATCAATTTTCTACGGACAAATGCTCTGTGCAAAACGCATTGGCTATGCAAGGTTCTGAACCATAAACATCTGGGATTCCAAGAAAAATTGATCCAGGGATTTCTGAGACTTACCGTTGATAGAAATGACCCGAGTGGAAATTCTGTTCAGGTCTCGATCAAAAACTGATCAAGTCCCATCCGAAATTCTGATCAGGCATGTTACGCCTCTGCCTTATGTTTTTCCACTAGGGTTTCTCCACCTTCCATCATTAGGCATTAATTAAATTTAATTTTTTGAGAGAAAAAATTAGTAACTTCCTAGCCGGGAATCGAACCGGGGGCCTCCCAATGTCGCGTCGGGTGCTCTTACCATCTGAGCTACCAGGACACTTACGAATTTCACCCTCAAATTGACTCATACCCGAGTGGAAATTCTGTTCAGGTCTCGATCAGAAACTGATCAAGTCCGATCCGAAATTCTGATCAGGCATATTACGCCTCTGCCTTCTGTTTTTCCACTAGGGGACGCGCTCGAAAATTCTTCAACAAAATTCACGGTCTCACTAGGAGCAACTACGAAAGATTACACTGATTACAAATGAATACCACTTGATTACCAAAACTTTATTACAAATATGGTAATGTGATTACAATGGTAATTACAAATATGGATATGTGATTACAATGATTACATTGATTTCACTGTGATTACAATTGATTACATCAGCGAGTGACACCACGATTACGCCTGTGAATAGCCCCTCGATCAATTTAGAACAAGCTCATGGTCAGATCGATAAAACAAGTCTCTAATCATTTTAATATCCAACAATAATAAACAATGATGATAACAGTTACTCAAAACGATACTAATTGATAGTTATAACAATTTTGATATGAAGTAATGGAGACAGCATTCCACTGTCGTAATCCCCCTCGCAACTTTGGACAATTAATTATTCATTTGCATTCAATGAGAGGCTATTTTAGTGATTTTAATGTTGGCCAAAACCTTATCAGGTCATTAGTTCACGAGATACTTTTTAAAGTGAAAATACTCTTTTGTCAATAACTCGGCGTGGCAATAGTTGGCGTGTTGTATTTCTCATTGGAAATTTTCTTGGCTTCCAATTAGTAAACGTTTCACTCCAGTCTTATTGAATTTTTCTACTGTTTCAGAGTTCAACCGAGGAAATACCACCGTGGCAACAGGGTGACGACAAAAAAGAGGCGTCTCAGAACATAACTCAGAATATAACAACACGCATCGTAAACTCTCACTCTGTGCCGTCCCAAGGGTTGAACACACTCGCCAACCCTCCACGACTGCCACGCGCACAAAATCCAACAATTACTCTACTGCAGAAGGCAAGAGGTGAGTTTTGTAGAAGAATAAAAAATCATTCTTTACCGCTTCATCTAATTTAATACACACGTTCTACCTGCATGATCAATGATGCACGTCTTTTGTTCTCTCATTTATTACTTTCTTTATCTCTATGTGTTCCCTTTTTCCGTGTTTATTCAACAGAGGGCCAATTACCGAAGGGCGCCGCCTACCTCGAGGAAACGGTGGAAAAGAGTCACGAAGGGGCTAGGGTCAGTCCCGGTGAAATAAGTGAGTTCATTCGCAATTTTGAATATTTATTTTTAATTATTTCAATTATCCTAATTACATGTGTGTAATGAGAGGTTAATTTGTAACTTAAGATGTACTGTTAGGGTCGAAATTTTTACAATTCGTTCTTGTGCCTGGTTCTTGTTATGTTTAAAAATGTGGTAGTTTATACTGTGATACGAGAGTACGAAAGTGAACCGGAATTTGAGAGGAAACAACCGAAGAAGATGGCGGATTTGGGACGTAGGAAAATTTTGGGAATTGGACCTATCACTAAGGACGGTATGCCTGTTGCTTTGAGATCGGTGAGTTTTGGTGTGTGTGTAGGAAAAATGTCTATTCATTATGTTATAATATTTTTAGGAAAAATAGATGGGAGAAAAATTAGGTTTTTGGGAATTTTCTTAAAAGTCCGCATCAATTTTCTGACAGAAAGTTTATACATAAAACCCCCTTTTTCATCACATTTTTTTTGGCCTTCCAAACGTATCTATTTGCAAAGAAATTCACCATTTGCCAGGGATTTTGAAAGCAAACATGTCGGCAATGGCATTTTTTTGTCAGTGAGTATAGTAATTGTTGTTAATAAATTAACAATTTGCGTCCGAGGGGGTTCTCTTTTTTGAAATTCTTATTTCATTATTCTCTTCTCCTACCCAGAGAACAACTCAGTAGCGAAGTGGTAAAAGGGTTTAAGTCGACTTATTTCTCAGTTGAGTTTTTGTGTAATATTTCAGAATTTAAGGGAAATAGCGAAATTTTTGTAATTACATTTGTTGTCGCACTCAATCGGCTCTACAAGAAAGGTTTGTTCGGTGAGGAACTAGGCTTAGGGTGGATGTGGGAGAAGAATGTGGAGGGAGATGCTGGAAAATTAATTGTGACACTGATTATAAAAATTCACAGTTTATTCGTGGGATAGAGACCACGTCATTAAATTATTATACACTCTTTGGTAATTGATTGTCACTGTTGATAGTCTTATTTCACTGATAATTGTCTCTGAATTTAATACGGTTGATTCACTGAATTTAGATGAATTTTAACTGACAAAACTGAGGTGATGTACTGAACTGAACGTTGATCTTACAAAGACTAGTGATGTACTTGGCTACTAGTGAACTAGGTGAGGTTCAAAATGCTACTGTCCTCGGTGAGGTGCGATGTAAGACTAAATTTGGGGGTTTTCACGATCGTCTGACCGCTCAACCGATAGTTCCCGATGGTGCTCGAGCTGAATGTTCTGGAATTTTAGTTGCGTTTCTAACAAGGTTATACTAAAAATTTTGCTATCTTCCTTAAATTCCGAGATATTCACGCACAAAAAAATTTAATAGAAAAACCCATCTAATTCGTTAGAAAATTCTATTGAATTTCTATTAAACTTTCTGTTAGTTTTTGGCTTATTCTATTGAAAACATTCAATAGAAAAAGTCAGCAGAATTTTCTATAGAATTTGCTCGACTCAAATTTTCTAAGTTTTTTTCACTCTATTTTTCTTTTCTTCTCATCAAAAAAATCAAACGAAAAAACTTAGAAAATTTGAGCCGAGGAAATTCTGTAGAAAATATCTCAATCGAATAAGTTATATAGAAAAATTGAAGTCTATTGACTTTTTCTACTGAATCATTTCTATTGAACATTTCAATAGAATCGGCCAAAAACTAATAGAACAGTTCTATAGAATTTCAATAGAATTTTTCAACGAATTCGATAGGTTTTTCTATTAAATTTTGTCGTCCGTGTTCACTGCAAACTGGTCAATAGTCAAAATTGACTTGTACCGTTTTACCATTTCGCTACTGAATTTTTACCGATGTTATTTAAAATTCCTCTCAAGCCCAGTAAATATCCACAAATTTACCGGTAAATTGTTGGCTGGATAGTCGCTTATGTCATATTACCATCATCAATTGAAATGTCATCGAAATTTTGACTATTATTTCGTTTTGGCGAATAATTCGACATTCAGGCCCTCTCAAGACTTGAATTCGTTTTCAGTCCGGGTTTAATCAAGGTTCAATGAAGGTTTAATCAGTGTATAGCCGGGCTTTACTGAAAGTTTATTCAAGATTCAGCCAGAGTTTAACCCACGTTCTGTCAGAAGTTGGTCGGGATGGTGAATCAATATGAACAAGTGTGCAACGTAATAGACTCGTACTTGAGTTTAATATCGCTATAGATTTTTATGTAAAAAGCTCATGACGGTATTGTGTAACTTGATCAGCAATGATGCTGTTCTCACCATTCTTCAACTTGATTAAGAAGGCATTGAAATATACTTTTCATCACGCTGTAATGAAAAGTGAATCCAATCTCCGCCACATTGTGATGAAAAATATTGTTCGTAACTCGTGAAAAAATGTTTTTGAAAATTTTTGAAAAAACACTTTTTTGCACTCGTTACGAAATATACTAGTATGTCACACGGCGATAAAAGTATTATCTGATGAATGTCATCATTCGCCAGATAATACTTTTATCACCTGATGACATAATGTACTATTTCGTTTACAGATTTTTATGCATAAAGTGGCACTTTTCGTAACTTTCACGATAATAACCGAAAAGTGACTTTTCGTTTACGGGATTCACTTTTCACAACTTGGGTTTCGTTCCTGTGTCACTGTTTGAATGATGGCGCTGTCGTTACATTTTCGACTAATCCGGTAGCTAAAACCATCGGTCTAATTGTCTCAACTAAATTGCAAAAAAAATGGGAAAAATTGGAAATTCACGGATGAAAAAATTTAATAGAAAAATCTAACGAATTCGTTAGAAAATTCTATTGAACTTTGTATTAGTTTTTGGCTGATTCTATTGAAACGTTCAATAGAAAGTATTTACTAGAAAAAGGCGATAGAATTCGGTTTTCTATATAACTTATTCGGTTCAAATTTTCTAAATTTTTTTGTTTGATTTTCTTAATGAGAAGAAATTAAAAATAGAATGAAAAAAACTTGAGCCAAGGAAATTCTACAGAAAATATACGAATAGAATAAGTTATATAGAAAAATCAAATTCTATTGTCTTTTTATACTGAACGTTTCAATAGAATCGGCGAAAAACTAGCAGAAAGTTTAATAGAAATGCAATAGAAATTTCTAACGAATTCGCTATAGTTTTCTTTTAAATTTGTTCGTGCGTGTTGGAAATTGGAAAAAAGTTGGACAAAAATAAGGCCTCGAAAATGTTGATAAAACCACATAAGAAACCTCAATAAAACTGCAATTTTGAAGATTCAAAACCATACCAATTATCAAAATCATCCAGATCAACTGATCCAGATCAACTGATTCCATCATTCAACTTTGAAAAGCATATCTTGAAATTGATGCAACGCATGAGCTGCCACACCGACAAATAAGAAAAACGTTTCCTCTCCCATTATTCAAAATCACAACCAGAGATCTCCATCCTGAAAATGACTAGGCATTTTTTCCATGTAAATGTAAATACGTTTGAAAAAAGTCCCAACAAAACCACCTACAATTTTTCCCTGAACGATCGATGAAATATTTCCATTTGCAGGAAGTGAAAGATACAAATCAGGCAAAATGGTACAAACAAATGTATGATTCGCTTCATCGAGCGGGTAGAAACGGTCAGTTATGTTTTCATGAATATAATCAACAAAACTATTCAAGTGCAGGCAGTGGAAAATAGAATTTAATACATTTACATATTTTCAATATTACAGATGACTATGTGACAATTCGGTATAAACCACGAAGAGGTGAATATGTTTGAAGTAGAATCGAAATTGTTGCAATGAGAAATGCTTCACGATTGATTAACGAAGCTTAACCTCTGCTCAGACATTAGCATTTAACTGTGTTTGGTACTTGAATTTATGGGTTGAAACATAATAGTCTGTGATACATACCTATGCATATTCATATTTATGCATAGTGATGTGTTTCGTATACATATTTTGAATATGTTATAGAATGTGGTATAGATACTCGTACCATGGGTTTAGAATAAGATTTGATATTAATTTGTCAAGTGCTGCTGTTTTATGGTGTGACGATAACATGTTAAATATTAATGCATATTATAATTAAGTACACGACGTGTTCTTTGTACCGCTTATTATTGATCTGAAGATGATCCAGAGAGATTCGAGAATTTTAACCCGAGAAATGTAAATCATCTATTGATTCTACATATTTTTTCCTCATGTTTTGATTTATTGAAGTTCATTTTACTCTCAAATCTTTCTGGAATACGTGTCAAATCCTTCACTAATTTATTACAGGCTTGAAAATAACCCCAGGATAATGCCTTATAATCCATACCTAAAAGTTGATTAAGTCAAAATGTGTGAAAAGCATCGAGGCAAAATTACAAATTGCCCCAGCCATTATATATGTAATTATGCTTTCATAATATGGTCTCTTTTCCTTCAGCGACCCTCTATTGCGAATACAGTGATTGATGGTGCATTTTAGCTATTGTAAAAGCCATGAATGATAAATGGCGGGCGTAAATAAATTCATAGAGTCAGTTCCAGGGACCCACCCAGTATATCTTGTAGCGACATGAAGAATTAATCATTTTTTTTGGGGTAGATAGAACGCTTCTTATTCTTTATTTTTCGTTTATTCTTTGCAGGAACGAGGTACGGATGTGGGAGTGCCAGTGGGTATCTGAGTGAGCCCGAGCCAAGGGTCTCCACTGATAGATCGGCGACGTTGGATACCAGGAGGCGACAGAGAAATAAGGAGAATGATGTCACTACCTCGACTATGCCAAGAAAGTGAGTCCATTCATAATTTGAATTATAGCGGTTTTTTTCTTTAAGCGAGGGGAATCCCGGCGCGACGATCTATTTCCATTCATTAGCGCCGGAGGTAATTGAGAAGTTTTTCATTAATCTTAGAATCCCATGAAAAATAAAACGATTTCATCGACCAAATGTCGATGCATTCAAGCTGCTTAATTCATATCACTCGATGTTTGAAATCTTGTCCGATTTCGGGAAGAATTCCGGACCTTTCTGACTTGTTGCCTGAGGTATTCGGAAATCCTCGCCGAGTATCGAGTTCACCCGAGATGTATCAATTCGCCTCCCAAATTTCAATCAGTTATTCGTCACCAGTCGGACATATCAAGTGTGGGAAAATCATCTGTGTAAATTATCATCGTAAAATCACCGGGAAATTTATTTTGTCAATCATCGAGTCACTCAACTTTTGGAAACTTTATCCGAATATTTAATAGTCGAGTCATCGAATATCATCATTATTTTTGTTTGTTTATTGGACAATTATCTCTGTAGCTTCATCGAAATTCAACGCGTGTGAAATAGACATTCAACAGGACAGTTATCATGAATTGAGAAATTCATCGGTTGATTTGTTTGTGATATCAACAAGCACAGTATTTTAGGGAATAAATTGACTTCGCTCAGGCCTAATTCCGGAGTTCTTATTCCTAAAATCTTCCCTTCAACCTACACTTGATTCCTGTTCACGACCATCCTGAAATTCACCAAACTCACCACAATTTTAACACTCGAGATATTAAAAATTTCTGAAGAATAAATTTTCCTCAATATGAGTTGAGATTTCTTGAGTTTTTTTGAATATCTTTTATTGAATCACTATGGTTTTTGCATTTTTTGAGACCTCGTGAATGAAAAATTTATGAAAATTGTGTTCGTATTCTCGATTATATCAAACACTTCCTTAATTCATTTCTTTTCGGAAATTCTGCCAGAATTCCCTGTAGTTAAACTCTAAACGTGAATATTCCCACATGATGAATTTGATTTCTTGAATTAGTAGTATTTATTTCTTTGCTTCAATAAACATTCGTACAAAGGCGAGTCGAACTAACAGCCTGATTCATAATCATGATAGAAATACATCGATTGATACAACGAACATGGCTATTCCATGGTGGATAATATACATGAGTGCACAGAGATTAATTAGTTTTCCAAGAGAGAATCACAACTTCATTTACAGTCACAGTATGGGTTTTTTTTTTTTTACATTCCCTCGGAGATTTTCTTTGTGGCCTTTAACAGAAAATTATGAAGGGCAATTAGTTCGTATCTATTATTGGCATTCAGAAGATCTAGCAGAGATTCAGCAGAGTCCAAATTCTGGGGTATTTTACTAACTAGATCACATCTTTCCTCGTGGAACTTCGTACATTCCAGGAAGAAGTGAAATATGCTATTTTCTAACGGAAAATTGCAATTGGAACAGTGTCTATCGCTGCTAAATCCTATGATCCCATGTTTTGAGATTATTCTAGGTTTTATTGTATTGATGAGTCTACATTGTGAGAGGGATCGCAGGGATTCAAGTGGTAAATTAAGATCGGGATATATCTTTCGATCAGGAGAGAATTCCAGGCGAGGAAGGAGTGGTAATGAGGAATTAGCTCTCCTAAAACAGTCATGATTATGTACATCAGTTTTATAACCGCTAATAATTGATTCCCGGACATCTCTAGAATTTCTCAAATTACAAATCCCTTGGATTCCCGGGGGATAGAACTTTACAATTATGGAATTAATTTGAGAATACCAATTGTATTTTATCGAATTTCTTGAATTTCTTGAATTATTCGTCCACTATTCCTTTGTTAATTCATAAACTCTATTTAATTAAAGGTTCAAAATTACCAGTAAACTAGAAGTGAATAATTTTTGTCGACTTTGTTACCCCACAAATTCATAAAATACACGGGGCGGTACAGCGACTACTGCGCGACCAACTACGTTCAGTGGAGAGTTGCTACCCCTCAGGAATTAACCTTGTAAAAATCATCTTTATTTTCCCTATCCTTACTCGGTAAATTGAAAATATAAACTCACTTCCTTGCTGTCATTACCAGTTTTTATAATGAAATGTAAATACTTGGCTGAAGACTCAAGCGATAGCCAGTTGCAAGTTTTCTCATGAAATTGCCATAAATTTCGCTAAGAATAAAATTTAATAAGATGAGCCCGGGTTCGCTGTATAATTCACGCTGTATTGTTTTGTGTAAAAATTGTTTTTTAGCGAAATGGTCGATAATATTGCTCGATGATTTGTGCTTCTCGATTGTGACTCAGGCGAGAAAGGCCTTACTGTTTGGGCATCTCAGATATTTGTGGAAATCCCCTGTTAGGACAAAATGTATGGACTGTAATTCGCCTTTAAGATTGACCCGGGAAACATGCAAATTTCACGATCAGGGTTGGCGCTGAATTAATATAACCCGAGATATTACAAATTTCTGACGAATAAATTTCCCTCAATATGAGTTTAGATTTCTTGAGTTAATATGAATATCTTTCATTGAATCACAACGATTTTTGCATTTTTTGAACCCCGGGAATGAAAGATTTATAAAAGTTATGTTCCTATTCTCGACTATATCGGACACTTCCCTAATTCATTTCTTTCCCGAAATTCTGCCAGAAATTCCTGTAGTTAAAATTTAAGCGTGAATATTCCCACATGATGAATTTGATTTCTTGAATTATTTGTCCACTATTCCAATGTTAATTCATAATTTCCGTTTAATTGAAGGTTCAAAATTACCAGTAAACTAGAAGTGAATAATTTTTGTCCACCTTGTTACCCCATAAATTCATAAAATACACAGGGTGACACAGCGTCTGCTGCGCGACCAACTACGTTCAGTGGAGAGCTGTGACCCCGTAGGAGTTAAGCTTGTAAAAATCATCTTTATTTTCTCTATCCTTACTCGGTCAATTGAAAATATAAACTCACTTCTTTTGTCTCATTACGTTTTTATGTAGATGAAATGTAAATACTTGGCTGAAGACTCGAGCGATAGCCAGTTGTAAGTTTTCTCATGAAATTGCCATAAATTTCGCCAAGAATAAAATTTAAAGAGATGAGCCCGGGCTCGCTGTATGATTCACGTCGTATTGTTTTAGGTAAAAATTGTTTTTTCACACACCTGCATGGAAAGTTCGTACTTTGCTCCCTGATGAGCGGGAGGAAAGGGACTACTTCCCGCCCTCGGGTGGAAAATTACTCCCTAGGGCGGAAAGTACTCACTTTCCTCCCGCTCATCAAAGAGCAAAATACGAACTTTCCTTTGCAGGCATGTTAAAAAATAGCATGTGCACCTCGGGCAGGAAAACATGACTTTGCGCCCTTGATGCACAATGTACTATTTGCGCGAAATGGTCAATAATATCGCTCGATGATTTGTGTTTTTCGATTGTGACTCAAGCGAGAAGGGCCTTACTGTTTGGGCATCTCAGGTATTTGTGGGAATCCCCTGTTAGGACAAAATGTATGGACTGCAATTCGTCTCTAAGATTGACCCGGGAAATATTCAAATTTCACGATCAAGATGGGCACTGAATTAATATCACTCGAGATATTAAAAATTTCTGAAGAATGATTTTCCTTCAATATCAGTTTAGTTTTCTTGAATTTATTTGAATATCTTTCATTGAATCACTACGATTTTTGCATTTTTTGAGGCCCCGTAAATGAAAAACTCATTGAGCGAGTGATCGAGGGTTCAATTTGACAACTAGATATTAATTAATATTTCCAAAAACATTCTTTTAAATATTGACAAATGGTTGAGTTTTTCATTGGCAACGGTTTCAACTTAATATTTTCGTAGGAGTGCCCTCGTAAAAACAACCGCCGAAGTCTACCGAAATCAGCCCGGACGTATCGAGAACTACCAGCCAGGTCGTTCATCAATATCTGAGAAGGAAACCAAAGAGGTACGTAAATAACCCAAAACATTCGATCATTATATACAGAATGTGATGAGAACAATACCCTCTATTTCCCTATAAATATCCAACGGCCACTCACTGCAACGAAAATGCCAGGTAATAATGAACGAATCAATTATTCAGCTATTTTTGATGAATCAATCATCATCGGCTGAACATCGAATTATTCTAATAATTCGTAAAACAATTAACCCACGACCAATTGTGATGTACCTCGCTGAATTATTATTATTCATGATTTTTATCATCTCTTCAGCTTTTGTAGTATGCTTGTAGAAAATCCTCTCCAGTAGAAAAGAAAAAATAAATGAAAAATTAAATCTCTTCCATTTCAAATTAATTTTGAAATTCATCACAAAATGGAATGCAGAGATAAATCCACTCACTGCTGAATATTTCATGAATACTAGAAGAATACTTGAAATTGCACAGAGAGAAAATAATCCTAGAAATTTCACTCTATATATAAATTCTCTCTATGTTAGTAGGATATTTCATTAACATTCTGATAAAATGCCTAGAATTAACGCTCAAATTTTTTGATTATATTTTTTTCTAGTGGTGGGACGAGGTCATGGACATATTCGACGGGGTATGCAACCTTTTATTCTTTCACTCTCTCTCTCTCTCTTATTTCTAATAAGCTCCCTCTTGATTTATCCTCAACCCTCCTCTAAAATAATTTTTGTTTCTCATCATGTTTCGAACTTCCGGTATCTCATAACATAGGAATCATGCTGCATTGGATGCGAGTAGTTGCCAAGTAATTTTCCAAGTCTTATTAATTCATCATGAATGATCATGCATAACATAGCTAGATACCGGAAGACTCGAAGTTGCGATGATTTGTTGTCTTGATTAACAACAAATAAAAACATCATCGGCATTTAATGATATCTGGTGGAAGAATTTCTGATTTAATAACTAATTAGGTGACTTTTTTTTGGTTTTTGTTCTGCAACTGATACTCGCTTCGCATTCGTCGAAATGATGAAAAAAATCCAATTGTATTACGTCCGAATCCTGATTCATCCCGTTGGAATGAAATTCACTAATGAAGGCAATAATTAATGAAGGAAGACTGCTTTTTCCGCCCCTCTTGTTTCGTGTCGAATAATCACTCTAAAATTGGGAGCATTTATACTCGTTTTTTTTAAATGCACGTAAAGAGCAAATACCCGTTTTTTTCAAGCGGATTATCCGATTTATGGAACACTCTGGTATCTGGAAAGTTTCAATATTATATTCATAATATTTTATGATTCCTGCATTGCGCTATTCTGCATAAAATTGAACGAATAATCCGATTGCGAAGTGAAGAAATTCTATGGCTATGGGATCAGTACGTTATGCATCAATATTTCAACGGTTTTCGAGTGCTCAAGACTTTTTAATCCTTTTCCACATTTAGTAGGTCAGGGGAATAAAACTTATCATCTCTATATCGCGTGTCTAAAAGCGCGTCGTATATGACAAAAGTGGCCTTGTCCGGCAAAGATCGTATCTGCCAGCATATACAAACTTTTGCTTTTAGGAAACCCAAAAATTCAAGAAACCCAAGCTGACCCCAAAAAAAGTAAAAGAAGAGAAACAACCTTTTGGTTTTTAAAAACTTGGATAAATGTATCGCCTAAAGCAAAAAGGTCGTATCACCAATTTTATATTTTTCTTTCATTTTGATATCTACAGTAGAGGCTTCGTATAAGATACCTCTCTATAAGATAACTCGCGCTCCGAGCGCTCGAGACCTACCCCCACTCTCGGCACTTTTATCGTCTCCCGAATGTTTATGTTCCGTGGGCTTCTTATAAGATACCTCTGGCACCGGTCATTTTTCAACGGGAAGAGAGTAGTTATAAGGATCAAACGGGGTTAAGGGTCAGATGGGAGGGACGAACGAGGTGATCATGAGGGTCTAATGACCTTAAGGGGGGGGGGGG